GGCATATCGCGAAGTTGGGTTTTGCAAGATAGTCTCGCACAGGCAGTACTTCATTCGTCCGAGTCTCAATGCCGACATGAAATACTGCTATAGGGGCAATACGTTGTCTGAACTTCTAGGCTCGGGAGGGCATGCTGATTGCAGAGCAGGCGTCTAGGCTTAGCCTCGTACTAGGTTGATCCCGTCTCGGAACAGATGGCCAGCGCGTGGAGCATGTAGAACCACCATCCATGGTGCGATGCAGGATCTGCAACGCTCTCGTGTCCACACATGTTTTCATGACTTGGGGTTCCGTTTGGTGAGTCGACATATGCGTGATGGTAGGAGGCGATGCGGAAGGACTCATTCTGGAGATTTGATGGTGCCTACTTAGGCAGGGGCTTTTTCGGACAGCTTCCGTCCAAATTTTGTACCCTACGTGACTGTGGGGCTCCAACATGAATATTCTTGTCATTTCAAGCTTTAGCTCGTGACGAGAAAGTAGGGTAAGGTAATGTAACTCGTTGTAAATTCGATGCGCATCGCATGCGCTCTCTTGACTGAGGAGCCTGGTAGGTAGTCCGTAAGGCACAGAGCTGTGCACTTACCTCAATACCAACCAACTCACCATCGTGACGCCTTCCAACCGGATGCATCAGCCGCAGTCACGTGTTTTCGTACAACACCTTGCATTACATACCACGATAAAACGATGTCACTTGATTTGTAGAGTGCGGTGGAGTTCAGCGGACACGCGGAGCTAGGTACCTACCTAAGGAAGGTTGAAGCAACTCCAAAGGTACCCTGTCGTTCATTCCTTCTTCGTTCCACAGCCTACTTCATCGCAATTGACATTTCGGTTCGGTCGGTGCCAGCGGCAAGTGCCCTCGGGGTGCAGCTGCACCGTCTTTTCCCCGCACTTTGCCTTCTCCAACTTCCGAGGACCCCAAGTCTCAAGATAGCCATCCTTGGAGGGAGCCAGACTATGATTGGGTTTGGTTGGGCAGGTGGGGTCGCGAGCTAAGCTTAGCTGTCCCGAAACATGTACCGACCACCTTCCAGATGCCGTCTCCAACTGCCTTTTTGACCCTTAATCGTGGGAGTTGCTGAGGAAAAGGTACAACGACCAAAGGAGCCAATCTGGAGCGACCCACAGCCAACTTGCCGACTTGACTACCCGAGTCCTTTTTGTCAAGTCTGAACTCCCCTAAGCAGGGGTGCCCAACCGGCCAAATCAGTAAGTGGAAGCTTCACTCAGCGGCGACAGCGCCTCACTCAGCAAAGCCTCCCGGTTCCCCTCGGAAGTGTCTCCATGACGTGCCTGCCACGCCTACGGGTCAAGCATGCAGGCCTGTACGGATAGCATGGCCGTCCTATTCCCATAACCCATGATTGGCTAGACTCGAGGCCCTTTGGATGGGCAGCTTGAGGCGCACATGGCCACATCCGTGACTCTGGGTGCTAAAAGCCACCCAGGTGGCACCTCAGTGTGGGGATTTGGAGTTCCCGGCCTACGTTGCCGTCCCCAGTCTGCTTCCCGATGTCGATGCCGGCCTCTTGGTCCCCTTCGGATCGGTCTCACTGTTCAGTGGTCCACGGATAACTCCCCGCCGTCTATTCCATCCATGCCCCGATTGACATCTCTCCGTCAGTCGGTCTTCCACTTTATATAAAGCCAACGCGCCGCCTTCTCCCCTTACCCCAAAGACTCTTTCCTACTCGACACCATCCTTCTCTGACTTCTGGGCGCAACGCTCCCCTCTATTGACCGAACTTTGGAAGCCCCGCAAGCTGTTCACCCGCTCTCATAGACTTGCTTTGACCAATTCGATTCGACCAAAGCTTACACTTCCTATCTGTACGATGGAGACGCAACCTGATCGCCAGTCAGGCACCTACTATGATATTGGTGAGTCCCTGCTGCCTGGATTCGCGTTGAGCTATACGCTAACATATCTTCCCAAAGTCATTGTAGGTGCTGGGCCTGTGGGCCTGATGCTGTCAACTATTCTAGCCAGATGGGGATACAGAATCAAGCACATTGACAACCGAGCCGAACCCACACCAACTGGAAGAGCTGACGGCATTCAACCACGTTCTCTCGACCTTCTTCGTAACATGGGCCTCAAGTCTGCCATCATGGCCCACAAGCCTGCTAGAGTCTACGAGGTCGCTTTTTGGGACCCGCCCAAGTCAGGCAACGGAATCGCCAGAACGGGAACTTGGGCGAGTTGCCCGGAGTTTATCGATGCCAGATACCCCTTCACGACTCTTTTGCACCAAGGCCATATCGAGCGCGTTTTCCTGGGCGACCTGGAGAAGAACGGCGTGCAGGTTCAGAGGCCCTGGACCATTACGGGATTCTCATCCAACGAGGCCGAAAACCCTGAGTACCCTGTCGAGGTTAAACTTGAGCATGTCGATGGGACCGCCCAGGAAACGTTGCGTGCCAAATATCTCTTTGGCGGCGAGGGTGCTCGTTCCTTCATCAGGAATCAATTACAGATTGGCATTAAGCACAAGGATCCAATTTCTTACGTATGGGGTGTCATGGATGGCGTTGTTAAGACCGACTTTCCCGATATCAAGGTAAGCAGACGTGCCGAGGTTGATTCTGTTGTTTACCATATTGATTTTGGAATAGATGAAATGCACAATCCACAGTAAGCACGGTTCCATCATGGTCATTCCCCGAGAGGACAACATGGTCCGTCTATACATTCAAATTGCATCCTCGACGGACCCAGACTTCGACCCACGCAAGACGGCAACCGAGCAAGAAGTGCAGGAATCGGCTCAGCGGATTCTTCAGCCGTATTCCATCGAGTGGGAGAGAACGGAGTGGTATTCAGTGTACCCTATCGGGCAAGGAATTTCGGACCGCTACACTCTGGATCAGCGGGTGTTCCTTGGAGGCGATGCTTGCCACACCCACAGCGTATGTGATACACACAATATTGGAAACAAGCTTCTTTACTGACTAGAGCATCAGCCCAAAGCCGGCCAGGGCATGAACACTGCGTTCCTTGACGCCCAAAACCTGGCCTGGAAGATCCATGCTGTCGAGGCTGGGTTCGCACAGCGCGATATTCTCAAGACTTATGAGACTGAGAGAAGGGACGTGGCGGAGACGCTGCTCGACTTCGACAACAGGTACGCCAAGTTGTTCTCTCAACGACCCGATGCCGCGAGCGAAGCTCAGGCGGCTACCGAGAATGCCGGCAAGGAGCAGTCCGAGAACGCTTTCATCAAGACTTTCAAGGAGTCTTGCGAGTTCACGAGCGGTTATGGTGTAGCCTACAAGCCAAATGTGTTGAACTGGTCCGAGTCGCACCGGGCCAAATCATCCTTGATCCACCCCGAGGGTACGAAGCTCCGGACTGGCCGTCTGTTCATGAACGCCGATGTTACGAGGGTTGTCGATGCCAATGTTGTCCACCTGGAGCAAGAAATACCGCTCAACGGTTCCTTCCGCATCTTCGTCTTTGCTGGAAAGCCTTCAATCACTCGCAAGGCCCTTGGAGATTTCGCTAGTCATCTCAACAACAAGCGTTCATTCTACGCCGCCTATGTGAGAGAAGACGTGGACAGTGTGTCACATCACGAGCAGCACAACCCTCACAGCAAGTTCTTCTCATTCTGTACCATCTTTTCAGCAAAGAGAAGCAGTATCGAGATTTCGCGCGATGTCCCAGAGGTACTGGGGCGGTACCGCGATCACGTATACGCCGATGACAGGTGGGACCGCCACGTACCGAACGCCAAGGCTGCTGCGCACGCCAAGTTGGGACTTGATGAGGAAAAGGGTGGCGTTGTTGTTGTGCGTCCTGATGGTTACGTTGGTATGGTTGCGAAACTAGTGGAAGGCAGCGGCACTGTCGATGCATTGAACGAGTACTTTGGCACATTCTGCACCAAGAAGCTCGGGGAGACGCTAGCCCAGCTGTAATGTACCTGAGTAAGGTAGAGCAAGAGTGTGCGACGGTGACTCAGGAGAGATTTTCCGAGAAGTTGGTGTACAAGTACTGAGTTGGGTTACTACTTCTGGCGTACTGGAGCGAAACATGAGAATTTATGCAAGAGAGGGGAGGTTATTCCCGATTTCACCTTTCAGGATGAATAGACATCATAGCACCGCCTGCAAATTATTTGATCAACCAGGAAAAAATGCATGCCACCCCTCCATCGATTATAGAGTGCAAACCACCTGTGCGGAATCAACCACTTCACGAAGGTCGAGATTCAGCGGATGCCGTTGGATATAAGTAGAATCGGCTTGAGACGGAAAAGAAGGGGACTGAGACGCTTGAGGAACCCAGGGACCTTATCTACGAAAGCTGCCTGAAGGCAAGCCGCAGCCCATTTGCGATGAGAGTACTTGGGTACCTTGTTGATCAACAAAATATCGTGTCAATTTTTGAAGCTGTTTCGCTCCTTCCGCTCCTTGAAGCGCCGGGTGTGCACCTCTTGAGCTAGTGGGGCGGGCTATAGAGCTGCCAGAAGAATGAAGCTACCTTAATTGCTTAGGTAGGTCGCAAGGAAGGTACCCTAGGTACATGATCTACGTATAGTACCTTAGGTAAACACCATCTGCATCGCAACTTCCATTCTCAAATCCAATCTCCACCGTGTCTGCCGTCTGCACCTTCCGTCCTCTAACGTGCAACTCTTTGAGGCGCGCATGCCTTTTCGACCTCTTGTTGCTACCTGCATTGAGCATCTTTCTCAAGGAACAGCGGTGCACCTTCTTCTTCTTCCACAACAACAAAAGCGCGTCGCCTTTTGAGCCCCCCGACTCCTCCCAGATCCCCCACCTGCAACCGATTTCAACCTTCCATCACGACCGATTTCTAGCATCGCGACACAACCCGCCTGCCGATCCAGCCAAGCGCCTTCGCACCAATTCTTGATTGCGCAGCTTCAGAAGCACAGTAAACACCCCGGAATTCAATTTTTTCGCTTTGTCGCACCTTTCATATTCGCCTGCTTCCTTTCGCGCCGGGTCAAAGTTGACCTTCACGATGCTTTCTACTTCATCTTCAAGCCTCGCACCTTCTAAGCTAACCAACATGGCTTCAGACCGACAGCAGATACCGAGTCACCGAGGACTCCTCCCGAACCCTCAAAAAGTAGCCGACTTTTTCGATCCTCTCAGACATCGTCGAGAAAACCCCCCCGAGATCGAGAAGCCTAGAACTTACAGACCCAGTCCTATCCAAACGGCCCTCGTCAATTCCCTCGCCAACCCAGGCCTCAATCACCACGGTCCCCTCTTCGGTACTAATGCTACTCAGCAACTGACCGCCTATCCTCAAGCTACCAACAACCCTCACACCTTCCACACCCAAGTTCCATTTGCGCATTCGCCGATTGCTCAAACTGAGCACCAGAAGGCCCAGAAAGCGCAGCATCTGACAGACGCCACGCTTAAGAAGGCCGGGGAGTCTTCTGGCTCAGTCAACACTGTTCACTCGCCTCACAGAGATCGAGAGCCCTTGCGTGGGATTTTGAAGAAAGGACCTGCCCTTTTCACGCGATCGTCGGGACCCACCAGCTCTTCTCTCTTCACACCGGCTGCAGCGAAGGTCAAGAGGTTGCGATTCCGTGCTCAAGCGCGCAGCGCAGGACTGGGCCCCTCAAAGAACCGGAAGTGCAATAGGTTCCCTGCGGAGGATCCCTTCATCCGTCAGCCCCCTATCAAAGCGACACCCTTCCCAAAATCTCAACAGTCCGCATATCTCAGACCGGCAACTACTCTATGGAGACCTGCGCCGAAGGCTTTTGATTTCAGCGCGACTCTTCGGCACCAACCTACTCTACACAAGCCATCCCCAGCTTCTCACGTCGCTGCCTATCGAGCACGCCGCCGTAGATTGAAGGACCTCGTTATCCAGCGAGAGGGAAGAATCGATCTTTTTGGCCCGAAAGGTCCGATTCTCAAGCCAGCCCAAAGAATACAGGGCTTTCATACTACTATCGGAAGCGTCTCCACGAGAAAGTGCTCCCAACCATCTTCGAGCTTTCATCTCTGCAACTCTAACTCAGAAGCCGAGTCGGAGTCTGAGGATACTGAGTCCAGCTTGGAACCCGCTTCGGAATCCAGCTCGCCATCTGTGGTACACCCGGGTGCTTGGTTCTTCAGCCCAGGCCAACGAACAACAATCATCACTCCCAACGAATCGACGCTCATAGAAGTGAACGACGGTTCAGCAACTCGAAGAATTTTTGTACGGGGGTCGTGCCAGAAGACGATCACAGTTCAATCTATCAAACAGGAATCACGGGCTCTGAACCAAGGCTCACCCAACACGACCCCGACACGAAAGCGACCAGCTGAGGACTCAGAGTTCGACCTCATTCTGGCGAATGCGACGGATGGGAAGGAGCCTCTGCAGGAGCCGCTCGCGAACGCTCGAGGCGCTGCCGTTCTGGACTCAAACGAAGAAGACGTACGTTGTCTGGTAATCTTACATCAGGGCAGGTGCTAATCGTGTGTGATAGAGACCTCGAGCTTATACGAATTGGCTCACCAATATCATGACATCAGTCCGTGGCACGGTCACAAAAGTCTCCAACAGCATTGTTGGCTACGGTTAGCTTGCTTCAAGAAGATAATCACGAGCCCATTCTAATTCAGTCACAGTGTACCCCCGCAATAATCACCTCATCGCTGTAGAGCGGCTCTCCCGTGGTCAGCAGAATGGCAACACTGGCACGAAGCGCATCAGGTTGGAGGTTGTCGATGATTTTGCCGATGAGAGCTTCACTCCAAATGCGGAACCATCCAAAATCAACCTCGTTTGGGTAGATGAATCGACGCGAATCGCTTACTGGCATCACATAGCCCCTCTTGTCCGCACCTTGAGGAGTATCTGCCATCGAATCGAAAAGAGGCGATCGCAATCTAGGGAAGGGTCCCCTATCACTCGACTTGACGACCAAACCCAGGAGCAGCAGATCTACGTCCTAGGTCCATACCTTGATACTTTCCGACAGACTGCTTGGATAGTTGAGAGTGTCTACTCTCATACGTTCCTGGCAGGTTTGAAGACGAACTTCAAGGTCCCCCAGTCGGTCATGGACTACACTTTCAGCCCTGAAGAAAACTTTGCCATTACCGTGGCTCAGCGCTTATTCGAGCATTTCCCTGAAGAATGCAATCCTGTGCTGGTTGAGGCTGGCGTCTCACGCCGCATTATCAAAGGACTCAGCGCTGACTTAGCCGCTCTGGCTAGTCGAAAGCCAATGCCTGGACTCGTTCAACGGGCTGGTATAGTTGGCAAGGTCATGAATTTTTTTCGAGGGCGTGAGAGCTTCGGTATCGAGGTATCCGAGGACCCGATCTCGAGGATCGACATCGCAATGCCCGGTAGCTTTCCAGATTTCCAAACCAACAACGAAGTTTTGGATGAGGCGGAACCTTCCATCAAGGCCCCAGATGAACGACAGATCCTGCCCGCCCAGGAAATCATAAAACCAGGAAGTTACTACCCTCCTGCAAGAACTACGGAAGCGTACACGTTCGTCAAAGACCAATTGGCCGACATCGCATCCCAACGCAGAGCTACGTACAAGAATGCACCCCGAGGCATTATATCAGACGACTTGGCCTGCAACCCAAGCCCCATCTCTGTCCTCAAAAGAGACAACCATTCACCTGCTTCACTGAAGCGACTCCAGAAGTCGAGAGGCCTCAAAAGGGTGCATTTCTCACCATCCGCGAAGCAATCTACCCCTTCATCGGCGAAATCAAGGGGCTTCCTCAGCCGAATTTTCGGCTCTCCTACCGTTTCCGGATCACCACTGGGACGACACGTTGTTGATGCCAGCCATCTGAGCGATTCTCAGGTTGACGGCTCGTCAGACGACCCTTACACTGCGATGCAGAATCGATACTCAGACGCCACTCCAAAATCTGACGATGTATCAGAAGAGAGCGATAGCGAGAAAATCGCGGCTCGCTGTCACCCCCAATTGCTGGAGCATCTCAACAAATCCTTGAATGGCCTTGAAGCTAAGGGATTCTTCGCCAAGGATGAACCGCAAGACTTGCCGTCCAGCCCATCCAGCCTACTTACACCTCCGACCCTGGCAGGTCTAACCATCTCGGATGACAAAGAAGAGGAGCTTGAAGATCTGTCTCTCGCCCTGCAGCTATTGCTTGATGTCGACGAGGCACGCCGAAGAGAAGAAGAGGAGAAGAAAGCTAGACAGGCAAGAGAGGAGAGATTGTTGAAGACGGGTGGACTTCGCGCTCCTCAGAGACCTTTAGTCACCTCATTACCGGCTGAATGGGTTGAGAAGGTGCAAGCCACGATGCAAGCCAATCCCTCGCTGACACTCGCGACGACGGCTGAAAGCGTTCCCCTCAAGAAGCACGACTTCGCCATGGTAGTTCCACCAACTGTGTGGCTCAACGACGAGATTGTCAATGGCGCATTGCAATGGCTGGATCGATACGTCAATGTGGCTGCAGGCGCCGTAGACGTGAAGGCACCGAACAGAGTGTGCGTCGCCATGGGATCATTTTTCTACAAAAGACTGGAGGAGAATGGTGTTCAAAACACCGAACGAGCACTTCGCCGTTACGGAATCAACAAGAACAACTTTCTCAATCTGGAGACGATTCTCATGCCGATCTGTAAGAACAACCATTGGACATTGCTCGTCATCCGGCCCAAGAAGCGAACCGTATCGCATATGGATTCCTTCAACCCTGCGGGCTCATCCACGCATACTACTAGAGCCTTGAACTGGGTCCAGGCCTTCCTGGGCGGCGACTATAAGGCTAGCGAATGGAAAGTAGTCATTCATGAGGCTCCTATTCAAACCAATGGGTACGACTGTGGTGTCTTTACTATCACCAACGGAATGTGTCTTGCGCTTGGCCTCAATGCTATCGACGCCTACTCGGGCGAGGATTTACCAGAACAACGCCTGAGAATCGCTGGTATGCTTCTCAATAAAGGCTTCAGCGGCGAATTCGACCTCGCCGATCTATAAAACACCAATACACACCTTCCAAGCTTGCAGTACCTTTGGTGGACCCGAGGGCCCCAACGGACTTTAGGACCATCAAAGAATCATACTGTTGAGCAAAGCCGAAGCAGGATGATGGATGGATGAGCATTGGCCTTTGGCTGGACACTCAAGCTAGGCTACTTTTCTATTGACATTACTATTTTCATTCGTGAGAGGGATGTGTGGTTTTCGGGTGGCTAGGCGTTGTCTAAAGATATTGGGAGTTTCGGATGGATACCACAGAAAAGCCAGGTGGATAGGCTTGTTGGAATTCTTTGTACAAGTGTTTGTTTGAATGTATGTCGGAACACCACCGTTTGTGCCTGACATCTCGGAAAGATAGATGGAAAGAGCACCCGTTTCAAGTTTGCACGAGACCTGATCACGAGAAAAGAGCAAACTAATACTGCGCTGTCCAGTGAAACTATGAATCCCTTCGCAGGCGCCCTGCGACGAGTTCATCCGCATCAACGACATGTGTAAGCCTCCGTCCCCTTGACTTGGCCGAAGTGCCTAGCCGGCTGGACTTTGCTTCAACCAAAATTTCAATCATCACATGGGTGTTCAAGATCGGGTCCAGGCAACTATGCGTTGCCGAAGGCGATGTGATGGATATCGTGACAGCTCGTTAGATGCAGTCCCACTCCATGGGACCACACAAAACCACACGCTTACTGTGTACCTACCTGCCTGTCTGCCTGCCTGAATCATTTCTGTCTCGTCAAAGTGACTGCCACCCCCAATGGCTCGGGTCCGGTGCCGGCCGCGTACAAGAACAGCCTGTAGAGACTGTACGGATACACGACGTCCTCAAGCCATGGGCCCCTCCTCCTCCTTGCCGGTCTCTTGCCGGTTCCTTGCCGACATTGAACCACGCTATACCACTGCGGCAAGCTTCAAATCCATGACTGATCAAGAGCCAAGCAAGATGTCTACTTACAAGCCTGCGGGGGGGCCGATTTTCCGATGGAGGCAAACCCTCCCCCCCCCCCCCCCCGCGGTAGGCAGACCGGGCCAAAAAGTTGAACAAGTCCAAGTTTCAGGTGCGGGACGCCGGCGAGAATCCCTTCCGCGCCGGACTTGTGGGATGCTTGGTTTCCTTGGCTTTTCTCTGATCCAAGGTGTCATGAACTCATGGTTGGGGCATATCGTATCCCAATTCTACTCTTCTTCCACTCCCCCCCCCCCTCTTGGGCTGGATGGGCCCCCATCGCCGCCCGCCGCCGCAAGCTCACATGTCACGAGTAGTGTAGACTGCATTTTTACAAAACATTAACGTAACAGCATACAGTCGAGCACGTAGCGTAGCGGGGATGCAAAGGCCGGGAGTGTGAACGAGGTTCTCCCAGAGAAGCCACTGGTATGGGGACCAGGGGAGCCTTTCCCACTTCGACGCGTTGTCGTTGGGGGCTCGACGGACTCTCTTCTCTTTTTTTTTCTGGTCCTTGGAAGGGGCAAAGGTGTTTCCGGCGGTCAAACGCATGTGTGTTCCACGCTACCAAGGGTTATGGAGTGAGGCCAAGAGGCGGGCTGACAGCATTGGCACCAGAAGAATTCTCGTTGAGGGAAAAGAGAGAGAGACGGGGGAGAAATTGACGAGCGCCACCACCAAACTCCCACGACTCCGTAAAACGCCAGGGTCCAGCTCCCACGATCGACCCAGGGGTTTTGAGCTGTCCCGTCGATTTGACACAAGGTGAGTTAGTCGCCCAGGGGGGGCAAGCGGGCGGGAAGAAGGTGGGCACGGTTTCTCTTCTCAGCCAGCCCCATCTCCCTTCCGCTTTGCTCCTCGCGTGGGCTCAAAAGGGTTTTTGAAGGGGCCCAGCGACTCAGGCGACTGCATTGTCGAGCGAATGGCGCTTCCGAGTGGCGAAAATCACCGAGGTTTCGTGAGAAAGGGGGTTCGTTGAGAAATCTGTATACTCGGGTAGCACCCGTTTCTTCTTACGAGACAATTCTGGGTGAGCGGAAACCCCACGCCGTTTTGCGCGCATAGACTCCATCTGTCAAATCTTTGATGGCAAGAAAATTGGAACTCGGGGTTCGCCTTTTACGCTTTCTGGCAATATTTTCTGCCCGCCTTTGGCCCGCCAAAACAGAGCAATGAGACTGAGATTGGCGGCGCGGAGAGTCAAGTTACTGGCAAAATCAGCGATCGAATGCCAAGAGATTTTACTCGCCTCAGATGCGTGTGTCTGCTTCACGTGTCCAAGTAACATGGAATCCGAGTATCTGTATTCTCATCCTGTCTTGCTCTTCCGCGGTATCAGGGACGGGCGGCGGAGCCTGGGGATAGGGAGATCGACTTAAAGTTCCTGCCGATCGTTGACATTACGAACCCGGGCACGAGAGCAGGGTCCAGTATCCGTACAGTTGTATATACTCTGCGTGTCTGTAGTCTGTACATACTTGGGCATGGAACGTGAGCGGGCCGTCAAGAGTCATGTCCCTCTGTGTAGGTGGCAGCCTGCCTCGAGAGCGGAATTTAGGGGCATGCTGCGCGGAATAAGCAATCCAAGCAAGTTTAGGAGTTGGCCAGAGAGCGGCCTAGTGACTTCAGGTAGCAAGAAAGAAGTATGGGCATCCACATGTTGGCCATGAGATCGCACTATTGATCGATGAGGTTGTTTACGGTGGACGGATCCTCGACAAGCGACAGCTCCGGACGACCGCAGAAGGCGATAGCCGAAGACTGCTCAGACTCTCAAGATCCAGTCCCTGTACGGAGTACAGATGTCCATCCGACCTTACGCTAGTTGTGGAGATTAGGGGACTGATGGCCGGGCTGGTAGTGTGTCTAGATTTGATGTCAATGCGGCCGTGAGATTGTGGGCAAAATTGTATCCGCAGTGCTTCGGAGGAAGACAATGTGTCAAGAGTCAGTCGAGGTCCACAGAAAGAACTGCTTGAGTAAAACGAGACCAAGGTGTCTAGACCGATGATGACCTAGCAAGTGCGAATATCAACATATTGAGCCTAAAATGTCAAAAAGGAAACAGTATGTATTTTGAGATTGCACCCAAGGGTTTGGGAGCTATCGGGTTTCCTCCCAACAACGGATGTTGACCGTGTAGCGCCCAACGCCATTGCGATACTTGAATCGGCGGCGCGGCGCGACTCGGAGACGGTAACCTATTTGTTGGGTCGGCCGGCCGGGTTCGCCTGGGCATGTAGCCTCCCGTCGTCCTGCGGTAGAAGTTTAAATCGCAATGGGTGCGAAAGTCAGGGCGCATCAAGGGCACCTTCGGTCTTCCCACCGTTCTACGAAGCTGCGAAGGCTGGGGAATTGGGGCAGTTGAGGCCGGGCGTCTTCGTTGGAGCGGATGTCGGGCTCGGGAATGTGTGGGATAGACACGACAAGTATTCGTAGGCACCGTCTTTGCGGTGCGATTCGGGGTCCCGGCGACGCCGTCGGCGCTACGGAGATTTTTCGCATCGTTGGGTCCCTGCATCGTACCGTGGGCCATTCATCTGTTGTATTCGTACACCGCAATGCAACACGCTGCTGGAGCGTAGAACTGGGCTGACTATCTAGGGATCCTCACATACCAATGTACGGACACACATTGTCTTATGCCATGCTTCAGGTGGTTAAAACCCAGGGAGAAGGACCCAGGTGCATGTGGCCGGCATGGTCCGGGATCAGGTGGTTTCGTGGCTGCGGTGTTGTAAGTGACAAAGAGGCTTCCAGAGTTCCATCAAGCATGCCTTGTCCTCTCTGCATCCAACCAAGTTCCCGGCACGGGCTCGATTGGCTGACTGCTCCAGCCTCCGTGCCTCCGTACAAGCATCCAGGATTGGGAAAGCGAATACTCCGTATCCATACGTGAGTTGGGAGTCGTGGGCTGGCCTAGGTCTCCATGGTCTTCTGGGTCTCCAGCGAGGTTTGAACAAGATAACCCATGTCGGATGTCGTTCGTTGGGTGCTGCCGCTGCGTCGCCGTGGGCGCGTTAGTGTCAGACTTCAGTGCTGTGTTCCACCCGCAGCCGCCGACCAAGCAGAAGAAGTCCCTGTGGTTCCACCATGGTAAGGGCCAGGAAACATGAGGTGCCGCGTGCGTTTGTTGGCGCTCTCACGGACGTAGATTTTGGAGCAGAAGAAAGATCGGGATCCAATTGATGGTTGCCAGTTTTGCCAGTTGGGACCAGCCATAAACATCACCGGAGATTGGAAAGTTGCTAGGACAAAGGGGGAAGGCTTCCAGAAGCAACCATTTTGCCACAATGGCTTCTCCCTCTTCCGCGATGCTTCCACGTCCATGCCGCTTTGGGTTTATTAGCAGGGACCAGTCAGACGTGCAGACAGCCCAAGCCTGTTTTCATCTTCTCAGCTTGCGGGCAAGGTTGAGGCGGGCGGTAGGTCGACAGGGCGCTTGGGCGACAACGAATGCCTATCCACGAGAGGACGCGAAGAGTACCTAGATAGACTTTGGCTGCAGATTGCTATAGATTGGTGGCGTGGTGCGTGGGCAGTTGTTGGATGGAGATGTCTCTGCAGTCTGCTGTTTGCAAAAGAGGATTCGCACCGTAATTAGAACGCGGACGGCGTGGGCAGTTTTGAGAACCACGCAAGCCACGTACCTTTCGAGCTTCCCAAAATACTCCATACCGTTCGGGCTTCTAAGAATGTTCATGAAAAGCTCACAAAAGTAAATAACTTGAGCAAGTACGGATACCTATTGTACGAGTTGAAGGATTGCAGACTGAGGGAAGACACGTCAGATGGATAGGCAGGTACAGATTCTGGTAGCGCTCTTTCCTGCCTCAATAGATTCGATTCTTCATGGAATGGGAAGGGCACTGAGGATGGCCATGAGTACTGTAAGGTAAGTGTTCAGGTAGGTACCTTGCGAAGTACAGCGGTAGGTGTGCATGCCTGCCGCCTGCCGCCTGCGTGCATAGAATTTTCGCAGGAAGCTTCGCCGCACATCCCTTCTTTTTTCCAGGTATGACGACATACCTTTGCATCACTTGAGGCTTGA